GGAGCCGTTGGCCTGATGAGGACTGGGCTGTAACCTCAGCCTCCAGGTATTATTCATACGATACTAGTGTTGAGCCCCAACCAAACAACTGAGTGAAGTCACTAAGGGCAGTTCATTTGGGTATGACTAATATAAAACGTTTTGGTTTTTTGTTGTTGTTTGCTGTGCTCATTGGTTTTTCTATGTTCCCATTCAATGAAGTGTTTGATGCAGAATCTGTGGACTGAGTTTAATTGTACAAATAGCTAAAAGTGGTTATGATGTTATGCTGCAACCAGATGCCTGCAATGAGGAAAGCATGAAATGACTCATTTAGAACTTTATGAAGACACTGTACAGAAGAGATCCTCAAAGACACTGAATAAACTTGTACTAAGAACCTTGTGAAGATGTCTGATAGATGTCCAAATTTAACTGAAATTAAACAAACTAAACATTTAGCTAAATGCCTACATACAACATTACAGAGAACCTGTGTCAGTTTAAATGCTTTCCAAATTACCTGACCCATGGAGATGTAATAAATAAAAGTACACCAGTTTAGAAAAGCTGTGAGAACAGAGCGATTAACCGGCTCTGTCATCGTTAGGCCCATGGGGCAGCACGGTCTGTTCTCCTGGCCTCCATCTCCCTCCACTCAGTGTGCCGCTTGTACTGTTACCGGTGTTAAACATTCAGGCAGCAGTAACTGTTGTCGACTCACTTTACTTAAATAACACTGTTTTAAAAATGTAAAGGCACGGCAGAGAAAAGAAGTTACAAACTATTGAATGCTTCAAATAGTTCATCTGGCAGCAGTAACTGTGCAGACAAGACATTCAGGGCCATAGCTGCCAGTGATCTGGTACAAACGTTTAGCCCACAGCACAGGAGGAAGGCAGAAGGAAGCTAGCCTGACAGGGTGATGTTGTACAGTTTTGTTTTATGAAATAATTAGCTATGGAGGAAAGTAACAAAGAGAAATAAAATTTACTACAAAGTAAATTTAACAGCAGTAAACTAGTGGGGTCGTCTTCCTGCTGTCATTTACAGTAAAGCTTGTTTTTAGTGAATAACAGAAGTGAAAACAAATTGCATATTAAATCACAATCGCAATATTTCTTTAAAAAAAAAAAAAAAAGAAAAGAAAATCACAATTAGCTTATTTTCCAAATCATTCAGCCCTACTGCAGATTGATGTTTAGGTCTACCATCGTCCCCTCCTCATCTCACAGACTCATTAAGCCACTACAACTTCCTTACAAACAGAGGGCCAACAGCTGTGTTCATCCACTGCACTTTACTCATCTTAATACAGTTTACCAAATACTACTTTACATGTTTGTTTTAATTAAAAATATATCTGTTATTGTTGCGTGCAGTGTGAACTAAAGGAACAGTTGCATTTCCATGCCTATGGAATATTGTGAAAAGAATGTCAGTAACTTCTATCTGGAGCACTGAATGTTAAATTGCACCGAATATATGGCGGTTTTCTGAAAATAGCTGAATGGCGCAGACACAATTACACTGGTGTAGGTTCACAAACAATATACTATTGGCTTTTCTCAGCAAACTGTACAGGCTCCATTTCAACTTAGGTGACTGACAGATCCTAGCATCAGAACGTCCATCTCCTATCAAATGTGCCTTTGCACTCTGTGTAAAGGATGACCTGTACAGACAGAGATCACACTGTGGTCACAACAACTTGGTGTGTGTCATTTCTTACCTGGTGCGTTTCTCCCTGCAGCGCTCGGTGAGAGGAAACCGTGGGCTCTGATCCCTGTTGCTCCCAGGGGCAGAAGCTAGAGCTGCTCGGGTGGCCGCCCTGCTGGGGGAGGACTCCACACTGAGGGAATGAGAGCGCTGGGAGGATACTGATTCCTGGGGAAGGTGAGGAGGAACAAAAGGCCAAGGAGGAGCCTTCTGCTCCTGACGTACCACTGGACAGGAAAACAATTCATAAAATGTCTGCTTGTCTAGACTGATACGAAACACGACAAATATTTCTAACACGGTTAGCTGTTTACTCATTTAAAGCTGGTCTTCAGTAAGGCTGCAGGGATTTTCTTCTGGTAACAATTTGAGACTTGTGGTATGTGGCCCCTAAGCCCTGGGGAACAGGGAATACTGAGCAGGGGGTTGACAAGGACAGTACTGCTGACTTATTAAACAGTACTCCAGCAACTGAGCAATGCACTGCAGTAAAACTGGACAACTTGCAAGAGACACGATTAGTAGTGGCACATATTTTCACACTTTAATTCCATTATATGGTCCAACTCTAAAAACACTGGATCCTACACCTCCCATAATGCACCCTGACAACACCTCTTGTTAGACCCCTTGTGCCTGTGAAAGTCTCATTCTGAGAACAGCATGTGTTTCTGTGTGGACATACAAACTCAAGGAAATGGTCTTGAATTCTTAACTTAAATTTAAATTGCGATGCCCAATCAGAAAACAAATAATTGTTTTATGTAGTTTCAACATTTATGAGAGTTTGGATTTGTAAAAAACAAACAGATATGGCTGTAGATACTAATCATTTTTTCCCTACTTATCTAATAAAATTTTATCTTGAGATTGACATTTGGCTAGCCCTGGGCAGGCTTCTGGTAAATCATGTAAGATGAGATTTTGTAACAACATGCAGGGCCATAAAAATATTAATTCTTTCATCTATTGGTAGAAGGTCTAATACGAGTCCCTTCATCAAATACACACATTACAGAATATAGATTTTTTTTTAATCCAATACATCATCTACATCTTTCAGGAGTGTGATTTTTTTTTAACCAATTAACATGGCTGAAAACACTTATTAACTTCATGTCACTTAAGCTGCCTCAGATCATATACCGCTCCACAGGTGGCACTTTACCTTCTCTCTCCATTAACGAGTAGGGTTTGATCTCTCCATCTGGCTTTCTTAGGGGAACCTTTCTCGACTGGGTTGCTGTGGAGGAAACACACTCTGAGAAGGGCCAAAAACAAAACACGACAGGGTTTGGCTGCATCCTCACCGAACCTCACCCAAGATAAGCTCTATATTACCATCCTCTACATATCAATGGTACAGTATTTCATCAGCAAGAACTGTAACATTATCTAGTGCTGAAGACCAACTGTGAAAGCATAGCCCTAGATTTGTGAACAACAGAACAATTCTTCACAAAATTTGAGAAGATCGGACTGTGTCATTAACACAGACAGCTTGTGATATTATTCCTCAAACACTAAACAAACACCAACAAACCTGCCCAGTGCAGAATTTGTTATAAAATTGAACTTGATAACATACATGTGGTGGATCTGAATAGTTATTTGCGGGGGCATAGATATCGATTCAGTTTGAAACTGCCCATTTGGCCACATCTCATTACTCATGTCATTACAGAGAAAAGAAAAATGAACAGCTGCCCGTTCACAACCAAAACCAAAGCAAATGAATGATAGCAGTGAAACAGTTACCTGCTCTGTTGAGGAAGAAGGCCTCAAACACCACAAAGTTATTGACCTGGATGAAATAAAAAGAAAGACAGGAACATGCTTGTGATAAAACATAGCTGTCAGTCAATATTCTTTTTCCCCAACAATAGAAAAGGCATGACACCTGGCAATATGGACAATATAATCCTGTTGTTTTTGAAACTACATAGGTCCAGGTGGTGTTGTACTGGCCTACATTATATTCAGAGGCATTCATAACATTCAGACCCTCTCATGTTCATGTCTAATATTCTGTTTTGCTTTGTCATCTCTTGCTCTTCTAACATTTGGGGTTGCTTCTGATGCAGCTATCTTCAGTAGAGCTAGCAGCATCAAAGTCAAACTGGTTTGTGCATCTTCCTTCATCCATTCTCAGACTTCTTTTGCAGGTTTCACATTCAGCCTCTGGGATTGTTGTTTATCATTTGTAGCATTTAAAAAACATCTTTTAATGGCAGTTTAAAGTACACACTTTGTTACTTGAAAATTACATTTTCTTGAACTGCAATAATGATTTGAAAATAATTTTTCATTCAGCCCTACTCAACTTAACAGCCCTGCTTCAATAGTCCAATCACAAGAAGTGTAACGATGGAGTTGTCACTGTCACACAAATGGTCGTAGTAATGCACATGTACTCAGAGTTTACAAAGAAATGCAAAAATAATGGAGAATAATGAGTTACATTTTTTCACTAAGTGAAACCTTCATGCTGTTTTGTGAAATATTTGTAGTTTTAGTTCTTAAATGTATCAAACGTTTGTTATGTCAACTCCTTAGGAAAAGTAATACTTCATAGAGCTCTCATTTGTATTAACAGGAGTCAGATTTGTTTTATTACAGTGTACAATAGAGAAAAGAGAAAAGTGCAGACTGTACCTGAGGAACACTTTGTGTCAGGCAGTAGTGCTTTGCCAGGAAAGACAGGAATTTGGGAGATGGCCTGTCATAAGCCATCATCACTGGCTCTACATTCTTGTGCTACAGTAGAAAAGGAGAAAACATGCAGTTACTGATAAACAGCACACACAGTAGCAAAGAACTGTGGGCGTCATCTTTACTGCATAGACTACTGGAAAACATTTTGGGGAAAACCTGGTCTGATTAGCAGAGACAGCATCCATCCCACTTTAGATGGTGTGGCTCTCATATCTAAAAATCTGAGATGCTACATAAATATTCAGCAGCTTCATTCTTACTGGGAACCCACAGTAAAGGCGAGACGTGAGTGCTGCTGAAGTGTGATTCCATACAATTCACACTGAGAGCGAGACGTTAGAGGCACGTGCTACATCTCCGTCACCAGAACAGCTGTCTGTCAGCAGGACACTGGCTTGCTACATAGGGTGAACATTAAAAAACTGGGTATTTGATTTAAACAGCTGTCTGTGGAGATTACATCTTACTAAACACAGCAAAGGGAGAAAATTACCTGAGGCATAAGAAAATGCAAGGCTCCTGGGGAGATGTGCGTCTTAGGCACGTCCAAGTAAATGTGGACTGATGGAATGGAATTCTTTCCAGAAGTCACATTAAGCGATTTTCTGTCATTGACAATTTTTTTTACAATAGTGAGTGAAGAATCTTAAGGCCATGCATCATTTTGACAGATTAGAACACTGAGGGTGATCTACCCTAGAATATAAGCTATTAAAAAGCCCAGCCAGTGCTATGGCATTGATAAATGAGGTGAAAAAAGAGGAACTGATGCAGTGGACAAAGGACAGCTGAGACCGTATTCAATGCATCTGGCTATCTGGAAGCTCACAACACATTAAAGAGCCATGGACTGTAGGCCACAGAGCACTGTGACCACTACTAATCATCACTTTAACAAATCGATGAAGCCAGCCGTTTACCTATGTCATGTCTGAAAAGGGCTACAGTGTATAAATGTGTTGCAAAGCCATCTCAGCCAAGAACGGAAACATAAGAATTTGTTTCCTGCTCTCTGTAACAGCAGGCTTTTGACCCTGCCAGTGAGTGGGGTTATATAAAACAGGTAAAAAAACAAACAAAAGAAAAACACTTAAGCCTGATTAGATGTTTGACGCACACTGGGACAATGAGGTATGATAGTACCATCCACCATGACGGGGAAAAAAAAATTCACTTTTCAGACATGATGATGGAATAATTAAAATTGATGGCCATAATATCAAGCTATTACATTATCCAGGAGACTCCTGTTTTCTATGCCAAGGAATACTGGAGACAAAGATGGACAGATAAAAGTGGCTAGGACAAGATATGTAGAGGTTTTCAAACTTTCTAATATGGATAATACAAAAACAATAATAAAACAAAATCCTGTTTTGGTTGGGCTGTAACTGAGGATATGACTTAAAAAAACCTCCTAAAACCAGCCACACATTTTGCAAAAGGTCAGTGCAGTCACAACATTCTTCATATCCTTGGCAAACAATCAAGCCCACAGGCTGCTCATGTATTGAACTGAAGAAACTGGAAAGGTGAATGTAACACCCTCCACTACACTGTTTGGATTGAAATAATGTGCCTCATAATGCTTCACCTGCAACATGAAATCAAATAGTTCCCGCCCATAGCCATGTCGTTGCAAATTCTCTGCCACGTAAAAATCCAAAACAGACAGCGGCTCTGCTTCTATGTGCGCACCTTGTTGATCCTGTAAAGCAAAGACAACATGAATGCGAGAACAGCTGACAAAGGACGTTCAAACAAACGGGAAAACATTTACATTGTTTTCATTGTTATAAAATATCCTTGCACATAAAAAAGCAACATGACTCTTACCCAAACAGCAAATGCAGAGGAGTTGATATTAAAGCAAAAATATAAATATAAATTTAACACAAAACAACAATCAAAAACCATGTGGCTAAGAAACCAAGAACAGCCTCCCTTGCAGCTCAGTGCCATTACATAGGCTTACCAAATGTTACCAAAGTTTATTCAGTTACTGACACACATCAGCTGATTGCAGACATCAAAACAGGGAGTATCTACCTCCATCATTCAGTACAGTTTATCAATACAACTCTAGCAATAACTATTCACACACTGAAACATATTTTATGCATAAATATTCAAAATAAGACTTTACATCACAATCACAAATTTGCGCCAACAGACAGAAACTTAAAAATTAAAATAAAAAAAACAAAACAAAAACAACTTACAAGTAGAAATAACTTCTTGTAGCCGACTTTGAGAAATCCCACAACCACACCACGTCCTCTGTATGTAGGAGAAAGGAGAAGTAGCATGTTTGACTGGAATGAGGTGGTATAGAGTAAAGTGCGATGAGTAAGACTGTGCTCTGAATAGGTTTTCACATTACAAGTTTAATTCTACTGCGCCATTTGGGTGAGGAAAGCTGCCAACATGAACTATAAACACAGTCTACTGTATGTCAGCGTTACAGTACGTGCAGTGTGGTTAAGTGCGGGTGAGCTGACCAGGCTCAGCTGAAAAGATCAGTCAGACAAGCGGTGGAGTGTGTATATTTCATACATGTCTTTAATACATTGTGTGGACAAATGTTTGTTCAATGCCATCGTAGTAAGGGCATTTTGGTGTTATGAGGACATTTTAGCCATTTTAGACTTTGTTTTAAGGTTAATCAGAATCAGAAAATCAGAATTCTGATTCTGAAATACTATATGTACTGAGACTTACAAGTGTACTATGATATGTAAATGTGTATTGGGATTTGTAAAATCTGTAAATAAGTACTGAGATCTGTAAATGCATACACAAATCTGTAAATACAAAATAAGATTTGTGCACACGTAAAAAAAAAATAAAACTCTGCAAATATGTGTTTCCATGAAAAACAGGGAATTCCTTTTACATCTCAGATAAGCCTCTCAATCTTTTTACATGTGCTTTTTGCTCCACTCATGCGGTATCTGAGATCTGCAAATATGTGCCAGCAATTTGTCTTTATTTCAGGGTTTTCTTTGCCCTTATCTCAGACGGCTAGGTTTACACTGTACCACAGTAGCTAGACTGCCTAAGGCTACGAGACTGGCTGTACTTTTTTTAACGAAGTGGCACATTGGCACTGCTTTTACACCCTTTGGAGATTAAAGTAAAATGAAGTAGAGAAGGTCTGCCTATCTCAAGGGATTTTCAAGGTAAGCATACAGAGCTTTATGGAGGCACACAGAGCCACGGCTGTACAGACTTGTTCAAATGAAGTCTACTTTTAGCAGTGTGTGTGTTTGCAGTCTTGCTTATCCAGTGTGCATGCTCAACCAAACCTTGTTTAATGTTAGTTATCCTGTGCTGAACAATAGAGCTAACTGTTCACTGGTCACTACAGCTGACAGTCAAGACAGTTTGGCTAGCAGCTAAAAAGGTTGCTAAACTGTTGTAGTTAGCTACCAAATAGCTGTATGCTAAGGCTATTGTCAGCTGTTCTCTGTCTCAGTGGATAACATTACTGACTAATACTGTTTTCAGTTAGGATGCAGTGGGCGCTGCACTCCACTATCAAACCCATTAATTCCTATGTTTGGTGCAACAATGTATCTACCCTACGCCGAGCTGAGTGCAGTGCAACGTCGTACACACAGTCCCTGCGTGCTACACTGAAGTACGTGCTGTATACGCTGGGTTTCACTTCTCTAGTCAAAGATGTAGTGCATTAAACATGATTAACACAGCACCATAGGTTACCAGAAGCATGTAGAGTAAGCTGCCAAGAAGTAAACTACTTCTTTGTAAACACCCATTTTAAATCTGATTTACCACACAGCCGCTGTGGTGGACATAAAATTGTCTGTAGATTTTATCAGCAAAAATATTGCAAATTTGGAGTCATTAAAGCACAACAGCCATTACTATAGGATAGAACAGATTTATCAGCTGTGTACAACTGCACTGTTTATTTAGTTACTATTTTATAACCTGCTCCTTCAGTCACACATCTCCAAAAACATTTCTATGTAACTATTTTTTAACTTTGCAACTGACTAGCACTTCAGATGCTTGAGTTTGAGTCTGCTTTGTGTTTTGTTGACCCCTGGTAGGCTTCTTGACTATGTGGAGGTGGTGCCAGCTGCTGAGAAGTGACACATAACTCATGGTGTTGTATGGTATTTCCAGCTTGCAGCGTGCAGCCCTTGATTCTAGGCATCATTTTAACCTCTTCTCAGTTTTCCTTTATGTGCTTAAAAATACAAATACACATTTACAAATCTGAGCACACACACACACACACACACACACATATATATATTAAAATACAAATTCACAACACTCCACACACATTTGTAAATAATTTCTGCACCGCATTTAGCCTCATATAAGGTTTAGCTAAAGCATTTATTTGTGATGGTTAAGTTTTGTGTGTATGTCTGTGTACAATGAGTGAAAGCTGAGGCAAGAATGGGAGATGTACCCATTGCTCTCTCCGTCCTTCAGCAGATAGAGCTGATGCCTCTGTGACTGCAGCTTGGAAGCACTTGTTACAGGTGCTGGGAGATGTTGGGCCTGCAAAAATCCAAAATTCACACTATTAATCAGAGCTTTAAAAACTCATTTGAACATTCCCAAAACTAGTGCAGACACAAAGCTTGAAATTTTGTACCAAAACAGTACCTGTTACAGTACCTTGTACTGCAAAATCTTAATGTCAAAGTTAAGCCCCCAATTTTATTCTAGTCAACTTAGTCGCTTTCATCAGACAACATTTCTTGGCTATTAGCTGAGAACAGCAGAATGACTATTGCAGATATTATCAATAGGCTATTTTTTTGTACTTTTGTCATTTTTTCACATTAATAAAAACAATATTGATACAGGGTACTGAAACATTTTCAAATATTCAGAATCTGTATGTATCAAAAAACAAAAATCAAGAATTTTGCCAACACTACTGCACTCCCACTAAAAACATCTGGTCCAGAGCATGCTTACATCACCATGATGCAACTTTGTGTTGAAGAGAAGCACTCTTGCATAGCACACAACATTTGAATTACATGCCCGCATGGCACAGAGTGATCACACTAGGGAAGACAGGCAAGGCAGCTTTTTTTACTGTATATAGCACAGACAATTCAATGTGCTCTACATAGGCAAAAAAAAAAAAAGGAAGAGTAACAGCATTTAAAACTATTAGCATTAAAACCAGAAAAAAAATCACTTAAGCAAAAAAATTAGATAAAACACTGTTAAAATTAGATATAAACTAAATGGAAATAGACAAAATAAAAAGCTCTGAAACACAATTATCTAGCAGTTAATGTGTATTTATAAGCTGTAAGGTCACCAACGTCGAGATGACAGTATTTAAGGTCATCAGAAAGCTCGTTCCATCTGTGTACAGCAGAGGTGCTAAAAGCAGCTTCACCATGTTTTGTCCTGACTGCTAAAATATATATGATGGACACTATGCAAGACTGAAGTCAAAATATCATCAACACAATGGCTGCCATCTTTCTTTGTTGCAACCAGATTCTGTGCAGTAGTGACCAGAAGTGGAGTGGCAGCATCAGACCACCAAACAAAACTGTCAAATCAACCAAAATATATCATCAAATAACTAATTACAACAAACTTACCATAAAAATGACCATTTGTACACACCCACATGATATCTACCAAAAACAACAGAAATCCATCCATCCATTTTCCTCCACTTATCCGAAACCGGGTCATGGGGACAGCAGTCTAAGCAAAGATGCCCAGACTTCCCTCTCTCCAGACACTTCCTCCAGCTCCTCCGGGGGAATGCTGAGGTGTTCCCAGGCCAGCCGACAGACATAGTCCCTCCAGCGTGTCCTGGGTCTTCCCCGGGGCCTTCTCCCGGTGGGACATTCCTGGAAGACCTCCCTAGGAAGGTGTCCAGGAGGCATCCAAAACAGATGCCCGAGCCACCTCAGCTGGCTCCTCTCGATGTGGATGAGCAGCGGTTCTACTCTGAGCTCCTCCTGGGTGACCGAGCTCCTCACCCTATCTCTGAGGGTGCACCTGGCCATCCTGCGGAGGAAGCTCATTTCAGCCGCCTGTATCCGGGATCTTGCCCTTTCGGTCATGACCCAAAGCTCATGGCCATAGGAGTCGGAACATATATCGACCAGTGAATCGAGAGCTTTGCCTTACAGCTCAGCTCCTTCTTCACCACGACGGACCGGTACATCGACTGCATTACTGCAGAAGCTGCACCAATCCGCCTGTCAATCTCTCGTTCCATCCTTCCCTCACTCGTGAACAAGACCCCAAGATACTTGAACTCCTCCATTTGAGGCAGGAACTCTCCACCAACCTGAAGGGAACAAACCACCTTTTTCCGACTGAGAACCATGGCCTCGGACTTGGAGGTGCTGATTCTCATCTCAGCCGCTTCACACTCGGCTAACTTAATGCCAGCAATGCGAACCAAGCTCCTGCTCCGGTCGTAGAGGGATTGGACAGCCCTTAGCAAAGGGCCCCGGACCCCGTACGAAAGCCCCACAACATCCAGAGACTTGGGGTACTCAGGGCGGATCTCATCCACCCCCGGTGCCTTGCCACCGAGAAGCTTCTCAACTACCTCGGTGACTTCAGCTTGGGTGATGGACAAGTCCACCTCCGAGCCCCCGGCCTCTGCTTCCTCATCGGAAGACATGACGCTGGGGTTGATGAGATCCTCGAAGTATTCCTTCCACCGTCCGATGATGTCCCCAGTCGAGGTCAACAAGTGCCCACCTCAACTGTAAACAGTTTTGGCAGGGCACTGCTTCCCCCTCCTGAGGCGCCTTGACCGTTTGCCAGAATTTCTTCGAGGCTGACCGATAGTCCCTCTCCATGGCCTCACCGAACTCCTCCGAGACCTGAGTTTTTGCCTCCACAACCACCCAGGCTGCAGTCCGCTTGGCCTGCCAGACCCCCCGGGGCCCTACACCCCCTGGCCCTGCCGTTCCCCGTCAGCTGCCTCAGGAGTCCCACCAAGCTCGAAAGAACTCTTTTTTTCAGCTTGATGGCATCCCTTACTTCTGGTGTCCACCACCAGGTTCGGGGATTGCCGCCACGACAGGCACCAGAGACCTTACGGCCACAGCTCTGAGTGGTCGCATCAGAGGTGGAGAACATAGTCCATTCGAACTCGATGTCACCAGTCTCCCTTGGGATCTGGCCAAAGCTCTGCCAGAGGTGGGAGTTAAAGATCTCCTGGACAGGGGGTTCTGCTAAACGTTCCCAACAGACCCTCACAATATGTCTGTCCAGCTTCCTCTCCCGCCATCGGACCCAACTCACCACCAGGTGGTGATCAGTTGACAGCTCCGCCCCCTCTTCACCCGAGTGTCCAAGACATACGGCCGGAGGTCAGATGAAATAACCACAAAGTCGATCATTGACCTCCGGCCTAAGGTGTCCGGGTGCCACGTGCACTGGTGTACACCCTTATGCTTCAACATGGTGTTCGTTATGGACAAACTGTGACTAGCACAGAAGTCCAGTAACAGAACAACGCTCTGGTTCAAACCTGGAGGGCCGTTCCTCCCAATCACGCCCCTCCAGGTATCACTGTCGTCGCCCACGTGAGCGTTGAACAATGGGGTCCACCGTGGGAGGACTTTCCAGAACCCCTCCCAGAGACTCCAAGAAGGCCGGGTACTCTGCACTGCCGTTTGGCCCATAGGCACAAACGGCAGTGAGAGACCTATCCCCGGCCCGAAGGTGCAGGGAAATGACCCTCTTGTTCACCGGGGTAAACTCCAAGACATGGCGGCTAAGCCAGGGAGCTATGAGCAAGCCCACGCCAGCCTGCCGCCTCTCGCCGCGGGCAACTCCAGAGTAGTGGAGAGTCCAGCCTCTCTTGAGGAGTAAGGTTCCAGAGCCCAAGATGTGCATGGAGGTGAGCCCGAATATCCCTAGCCGGTACCTCTCAACCTCCTGACCAAGACCGGGCCTCTTTCCCACCAGCATTCTGTTGGCACCTCACCAACAGAAATCACCTCTGGGAAAAACAATTTTGATTTGTACTTTGAGTTTTAGGTGTGGCTTATGTCCCATCCACTAATATCGAGGAGGCAGGATTTTTTTACCTATACTAGACCATCACCAAGAAGGCACAGCAGAGAATGTACTTCCTGCTCTAGCTCAGGAAGTTCGACCTGCCCCAGGAGCTGCTGATACAGTTCTAAAGAAGAATCATCGAGTCTGTTCTCTGCACCTCCATCGCTGTCTGGTTTGGCTCAGCAACCAAACAGGACAGGAACAGTCTTCAGTGGACAATCAGGTCATGGGTCAAAAGGAGGGCGGAGAGGATCACTGCAGACCCCTCACACCCAGTTTCTTCCCCCAGGCTGTCACTCTGATCAACACTTAATCCATGACTGTATAACAGGATGACAACTCTCAGTGCAATACCTGTAAATGTAATTTTGTACATATCTGGAAAACTGCATCTAAGCTGTGTATATATTTTTATAAGTACTTTATTTTTATTTTCCTAATGCACATTCTTTTTAGTAGTCTGCTTGTAGTTCAGCTACATTCATATTTGTGTAACTGAAATAGTTCAATTACATTTTTGCTATTTTTTGCGTAGTTAACTACTGAAACCACAAATAATTGTGAGCCATAAAAGGAAAGGATAGATTTTTTAATTTTTCTTTCTGCCAAAACATGTGAAAAGTCTTTGAGTTCAGCACCATTGTCCCCGCCAGCACTGCATGTGAGCGGCTTTGCAGCATTGGCGAGGACATTTTAGTGCCAAAAGGAACAGCCTTCTGGATGAGAATGTTTAAAGACTGCTCATGTGTCATATGAACAAGAGAAGTAGTAGTAAAAGACCAGTGTTCAGGCTGCTCATACAGTCTGTAAGGTGCAAGTTGAAGACTGTGATTACATTTGTAAAAGTCAGTCATGTGTTAAAACTGACAAGTACCATAAGGCAATAGACCAGTGCTAAAGTCAGTTACATGGTCAAGGTGCACTAGATGTCTTTATATATAAATATCCACTAACATCACATTCCACAGAAAAACTATGTGGCCACAACAGCCTGCTGGGTAGGTCCATTTTTGATTTTTGGCCCAGAACATTTGTTTACTTGTAATGTTGAAACCTTTTTTCCACTTGGATGATCATTAGACTGTGTTTCCTGCCCTGTGTGAGTTCAGTGTTATCAATCACTGATCAGAATGATGGCCAAATGACAAAAAGTAAAGCTACAACCCCAAATCAGAAAATGTTGGCACAGTATGTAAAATCAAGACTGATACACTGAAAACAACACAGCAGCACATTATCTGATGTGACACCTCATCAACTTTATTCTTTGTTCAAAATAAAACTCTTTAACTCTGATGCTGCAACACATTCCAATAAAAGTTGGGACAGTAAAGCATTGACCACGGTGTGATGCTGCCGTTACTTTTCACAACACTTAAAGACATTTAGGGACACCAAGTGATTCAATGTGTCAGGTGTCATTCTGTCCCATTCTGCCTATGAACAAGTCTTAAGGTACAACAGTCCTGGGTCTTCATTGACACAATTTGCAAACTGCACCACACATTCTCTACTGGGGACAGGTGGGGACTGCAGACAGGCCAGTCCAGCACTCAGCCCCTTTTCCTCCACAGCCAGGCCTTGATCATGTGGCAGTGTGAGGTTTGCATTGTCTTGTTGAAATATGCATGGGTGTCCCTGGAAAAGACATCGTCTTGAAGGCAGCAGATGTTGCTCCAAAACCTCTGTGTATTGTTCAGCATTAATGGAGCCGTCACAGAAGTGGAAGTTAGCTTTGCCAAGGGCACTGACACAACCCCAGACCATGACAGACCCTGGCTTTTGGACTTAGTCTTTGGTTCGGAGTACACGGCCTCCATTCCTTCCAAAAAGATCTGAACCACTGATTGGTCTGACCAGAGTCCACGTTTCCACTGTGTGATGGTCCATCCCAGATAGTGTGCTGCTGTATCATTTTCAATGTAATACAGGACACAGATGATTTGGAAGGCGACAGTGGTGCGGTGGGTAGAGCAGTCATCTCCCAACCAGAAGATTGAAGGTTTGAATGTCGGTGCCTGCAGTCCACATGTTGAAGTGTCCTTGGGCAAGACACTGACCCCCCCCCCCCGTTGCCCCTGATGGTTAGAGCCATCGGTTAAGTTGGCGCTGCAGATGGCTGCCATCGGTTCTGTACCGGAAACAAATTCCTTGTGTGTAACATACTTGGCCAATAAAGGTGATCATCCTTATCCTTTTCCTTTTTTACACATCGCTATTTTCAGCCTTAATTTTAGATTTACATGCTGTCCCATCTTTTTCTGATTTGGGGTACTCTACAGATTTTTGGAGGATTCAGTACAAATGGGATTGAGCATGTTTTGTCAGGTAGTAGACATACTGTATGCACATACATACAACAAGTAATTTGTCTATAGGCCTTACTGCCCAGTCAAGTTTATCTGCACCCTCTAGAAATGTATGAAGTTGAAGGCCAAACGGCCTTACCTTTTAAATTATGGACTGTATGGCCTGGAAGAATCTATGTTAATAATGTGGTGATCGAAATCCGACAGACAGACAGGATTGTTAGTGTGCCAACTCACTACCAGTGTGCACAACTTAAGAAGGTCAAAGGTGGTTCTAAATGATGTGGCACTGAGGGTTATATTTCAGTCATCCGTGTGTTTATCTATATTTTAAAGTCTGCACATAACTTAAAAATACATTCACATAAAAACACAAAAAACAAGCAACAATCATAAACATACTACGACACCAGGGACCTATTTCAAGAAGGCGGTTTTGTCGAAACTCAAGAGTTTGTTAACCCCGAAATGAGGGAAACTCGGAGTTTTCGGTTTCAGAAACGGCGGTAACTTAAACCCGTGAAGCGGGGTAAGTTAAACCCGTTTCACAAAGAGAGGTAATCTAAACTCAGAGTCAGTTACTATGGCAAATTACTCTGTGAACCTAACCTGCTGGCGAGCAGGTTTTGTTCGGGAAACTCAGAGTTTCCTCCGGGTCTCCGCCCCTTTTTAAAGTGAAAGGTGTTTAATACCTCATTTAATCTTTCAGTACATTCATAGATTGCACACGTTTCCGTCACGCAGAGACCAAAATGGCGTGTCCATTCATAGAGGATCCTGTAGATGAGGACGCTGTAGTAATTCGCAGGGAATTGCATTTACGTCGGGAGAGGATATTGAGGCCACGAGTTGATTTTTTTTTTTGTCATATCCCCATGTATTTTTATTTGAGCGGTACCGTTTTTCTAGAGAGTCCATAACATATATCAATAATCTTATCCACCCATACATCAGACACATCACCCATCGTGACCGTGCTCTTACATCCGAGCAGATGCTTTGTGTTGCATTACGATTTGTTGCAAACGGCAGTTTTCTTTATAACATCGGGGATGCAAAGCACATTAGTAAGGCCACTGTATGTAGAATAGTTCGGAAAGTGTGCCGCGCCCTCAAGCGCTTTCTGTGAATTTGTGTTGTGTTTCCTGGGCACAAACCCCTCAGAGCCATTAAAGAGGAGTTTCACAGGATTGCAGGTTAGTGGTATTGAATTCGTTTCAGTAAGGCTAATCTGAAAAATGATGATCAGTTAATAACATCTTGCTGTGACCTCTGGAAATAAACTAATAATTAGAATCCCCTTCAGGATTTCCAAATGTGGTTGGATGCATTGATAGCACACATATTCCCATCAATGCACCTACATGAAAATTAAAATTCAATTCTTATATTATTACATCAGTGTTGGGTCAATTTTAAAAAAGTATTTTGATTAATGTAATAATTACTCTCCATAAAACATACTGGATTATTTATTAATCATTACTTTACAAATCCCATATCAACCACAATAGGAATTGTAAGAAAGGGTAGACATAAAACTGCACTTTTAATTCGTACAAAAATCGGTATTTTATGCAATTACTGAAGTTACTCATTCAATTATTGAAGAATTAAGAACCATTCCTTACTTTACAAGTGACAAATAATAACATTACTAACATTATTTAGTAATTACTTACACCGAACACTGTATGATTAAAATGTAAACGTACGCATTGACTCGGGCAGCTATTTTCCCCCAAGCTAACTCTTTCTCTTTCGCCACTGCAGCCGTGTTGTTTTTTTGTTTTTTTTTTACGAAATATGGGCTCGTAGTCACTATATCCTTGTAGTAGCACATCCATTTCTGTCGGGAAAAACGCAGACCTATTTTGGCTTGGTCCTGTTGCCATGGTGACTCGTAATTTCTTCACTCCATTGTTCAGGGCTTTTTATAGTCGCGTGGCACGCGCCTAACTCTGAGTCAGACAACTCAGAGTTGATTAAACCAACTCTTTTCAGCTGTTCTGAAACCGAAAACTCAGAGTTTTCCAACTCTGAGTAAGTCAACTCAGAGTTCAGGTTTGAACTCTGAGTTTGTTAAACCGCCTTCTTGAAATAGGCCCCAGAGACTCACCTTTGCTGATGCTCTTCCAAGTTCCAAGCAACAATCACAAACATACTACGACACCAAAGACTCACCTTTGCTGATGCTCTTCCAAGTTCATCAATAACTGTGGCCACATGAGCTTGAAGATCTGGCCTACAATGATGAACAGGGTGATTCGATCATTTGATTAGATAAGCAATGGCCATATAAAAAACTATTGTAAAACAGCAAAGAGAAGATTTTTTATCTGTGATTGCAATGTTTCCACCTCATTCCCATACATAGATTTATTTGCGGCAGGCTGCCACAAATACATTTTCGGCAGGGGGGGCGACAAAAACATTTTGCACGACAGGCTGCCACAAATACATTTGCTTGTTACTATTTAAAATGTGTAAAATATTATTCCATCATAAAGCTGTGCGCACTGCATTGACTGGCGCAGCTTCACACATTAGCCATTTTCACACATGAACTCCAGAGTATTTCAATCGAATTAGGCCTGGGCTTTGTCCAGAATTGCCCTTTCACACATTTTCGCACATGTAGCACACAACATGAGGCAGTCCGCAATTTGTTAGATGGTTACTGCCATTAATAATAATAATTGGTATTTGAGTGTTTGATTATTTTATGTATTTGTTTAATTTAGACTTTTTAGTATTTCTGTTATGTCTTTAGTTGTTTTGGAAATAATTCAGGTGGCGCTGCTGGCACTGTGGGCATCTTAGGTAGGTAGGTAGGTAGGTAGGCAGGTAGGCAGACACAGGACCAGCAGGCACTGGGCAGGGTTTGCGGGTTTTTACCAGCTGGACAGAAGCAGCATGAGGCACAGTTCCTTTGTTCTTTTGTTTGCCTGCTTGTAATGGGTGAATAAACCTTAAGAAACACAACACATGGACCATGGACTTGTTTTGCCTGCATACATTATTATCACAATGCTGCATCAGTGGCCTTTTGGTTTTAGGTTTGGTTAAAGATTGAGAGTTGGTCTGGACAAACGGGCACTAGAGAGGCACAGAATATAATGAGAAGAGTGAGAATCCAGTCTGCCACTGCTGTCCTAAAGGTACTTGCAGGTTGCGCTGTCATGTAACTATTGCTTTTAATGTTTCATATGTATGATTTCAACGTTTTATCTATTTGTGTGCATGGTGTTAAGCACTTTGAATTGCCTTTGTAGAAAAAATGTGCTATCTAAATAAACTTGCCTTTGCATAGCCAGTGGGCATTAATGGGCCTATCAATGTCTGCGTGTTAACCAAATTTTTAGTTTCCCTGCCTTGTGCTCAAGCATTGCAGCCAGAGAAGTTGTTCCTCAACAGGCTACTCTCCTGTTATGTTTTCATTTACAGAGACAATGGAAAAAAACTCAAAGAAATGTAAACACAAAGTAAAGATGTCATCAAAACAACATTAAGCTTTTGCACATTATCTGACAAAGACAGATAAACATGCACGCTTATACTGACAGATTTCCGAATGAGAGCTCCAGACATAGCACTGCATGCTGCTACAATGCAACACGCTAATACCAGA